GAACCGCTGTTTAAGGGAGGGAACTGGTAAAAGCAAAACACAGTTGAGTGATGGTACACAGAGCACCGCAGCCAGCTTCCAGAGATCCATACAAAAATCAATTGCCCTCAGTTTTATAATAAATGGGGAGAGAAGGTCACTGCCCCGAAGTGCTTACAGACTGGTCTCTCTTGGTTAATCGCATGAAGTGCCATCCCATTACATTCAGACCAATTCTCTGAAAGTAATTTCTTAGAATAAGCAAAAGCCCTGTGGATGCTTTGATGGATATCAAACAGGCACCAGAGAGAAAGAGAGAACTGACATGCAGTTCGATTATCAGGTTATCTCACTGTTTTAAAGCCAGTCGGGGATGTAACTTTAAAAAAATGCTATTCATTAGAGTGCATCTGAATATTACAATGAGAATTTGTCAAGACTGGGGAACAAATGCTGTTGCCAACAAGCAAATCCTACCCCAAAAATTCAGCGTTGGCACCCTGTTATTATGCAGAGACTGGGAAAGGTCAAATAGAATCTTATAACAAAGAAAAGCAAATTCAAGAGCTCCTCAGCAAGAACGCTCTACTACCTACTGTTAAGAAAGCTTTACAGTCCCAGCTTCTATCAGATGATCTCAGTTGGTGCTGTAACACACCACTACAGACAGGCAGGCTCAGGGAGCTAAACACGAGCAAGTTGGGGTTTGGGTTTTCGTTTGTTTTGTTTTTTTAATAAAGTTCTCATAAGGAAAACATGAAAATGAGTATAATCCTTAAAGCAATGGTACAGTGTGCCTGTACGGACGTTAGCGCTATGAAGACAAGTTGCTAAATGCTGTGCCGGCTGAGGCATCCCAGGGATCTGTGTGCTCATGTGTACATGGAACACATTGAATTTATGTGGACCACAGTGACTATAGAGCCAGTTAAGTGACTTCGCAGGGTTACTAAGCTGAACTCCCAAGTTTCACCTGCGAAGCTGATCACTGAATTAGAAACAGTAATTCTTATTATGACACGTGAGCACAACAGCCCTGCTCCCCTCTTTGCAATACACTCTATCACGCATTTTGGAGCCATGTATTTATCTGTTAAATTAGCTGTCCAGTGATATGCAGACAGTTCTCCTCATGGGCACCCTGAAGTACGACGGCGGTACCGCTGCATAACAGCTGAAGCTCATAACAGAAGTGTAAGGTCTGTATTTTTCTATCAATAAGTATAAAAAAATGGCATTGTTGCCTTCCCATTACTCCCCAATCAATGCTATTCTCATAGCTCCTGCACCACTTACAGACTCATAAGATCTGTTTCTCATTCACAGGGGGGAGGATGAGATCCAGCGGATCTGCGCAGGGCTCCACAGCAAGTCGACGGCAGATCTGGGAATGAACGCACATCTCCCATCCCGAGCAAGCGCCATGAGACAAAGGCTGAGCCTTTACAGTATTTTCAATTACCAGCTGACTGCCCTGGATCCAGGGCACATACACGAACCAGCAAAATAACATGGCTACAAACGAATGACTAAAAGCAGTGGAAAAGATCAGAGCTTTTTGGTAAAGAACCTATACCACACTGTAAAGGGAAGTCCTGCTGGATCTCTAATACCTTCACTTGGTCGAAAAGCCTTAGTCTGTGAAGTTGCATGTCACAGTAGAGTATAAATACCTTCTAAGTGCCAACAACGAGCCTATCCCCAGCCCCTCTCTTTGGCCACGTAGAAGACAAATGCATAAAATCGGCCGCGGTTTGTATCAACTTCCTGAAACTCAGTAAAAAAAGTTCAGAAGCATGAAGGGCTGTTCTAGGACTTTAATCTTTAGCTTGAGGGAAACCAGGATAAACTAGGAGTGAACACAGTTAGAGGCTTTAAAGAAAAAAAATCCTAATGTAAAAATTTTGTTGCCTGATAAGGAAGCGGGTTATAGAGCAGAGGCTGACAGTCTGATCCAGACTGATTTACTGTCCTGCGCCGACTGAAGGGAACAAGGTGCCACAGAAACACGGCTAACCAAGCGAATATCTGAGCAAACTGCAATAATCAAGCCCGATAATTCCCGAGGTGTATGCTGCAAACACGAGGTTATTGTGTTAAAAATAAAACCGCAGCTTGCACAGTCTTACACATACCCCTGCACGGTTTTTGAGACATTTGCTACATGAGGAAAGCAGAGCACTGTCATTCATGTTGGTTAGCCCAAACCCTTCTTGTTGAGACGAGTGAAAAGGGGCAGACACTTTATGGAAGTAGTGTTAGCAACCCTGCATGTCTATTTTCTTCAGGCTGAAGGAGAAGGTGCTGCTGACATCGCGCTGGCAGCATCTTCAGATTAGGGATTCGATCTGCAGCAGCTTTTGGAGGGAAGGAATGCTTTTCTCCTCAGATAGATCTGATCTTTTCACACTTTAGTTGAGATGAAGCTGCTTCTATTTTAATGAAAGTTTAAAAAAAAAATAACCCCAAACTACTACTTCATTATAAAAAAAAAAGTTATTTTTTGAAGTGTAGAATGGATCTAAACAAAACAAAGTGCAAAACAGCGCTCCAATAAGTGTTTTACGTATCTCCAAATTCTTTGCACATTCCTTTTTCTTCACATCCCCTGGATTAAATTGCTTTATTTTGAAAACAGAACATTTGATTACTTTTTTTCTGTATAGTATGAGTGAGCCACCCTAATACAGATCACTTCACAGACCATCTCTGTTCCCTTTAATGTTCCCATAAGTTGTCCAATGCAGTTATACTTTTCAGATACGCGCTTCTGTATTTTTAGCTCTCTCTTAATTCGGCAATAAGAATACCTGCAGCTTACTGTCAGCCAGCTTTTCACAGGCTGTGGTTTAAGCACCCATTTATTTCTTAGGACACAGGAAGGACCCTTTCAGAGGCTGACAGCACCCACAAAACCATCCAAACTGCTCGCCCCTGAAATATCACGTAGCAGCACACAGCACTGCTGCCCGGCTGCCCTCCTATCCCCCTCCCCCAGTAAGGCAGAGCTTATGGAGCACTTTCGAAAAAAACCCACACAATTCCATAAGTGCTACAACTAGGCTGTTTAAAAAAAAAAAAAAAAAAATCCAACCCTGCTTTCCCTTCAGTTCTGCAGAGTCCTACCCATGCTCTGCATCACAGAGCAGATCTGTTCTCAGAACTGAGACATTTCAGTGCCTGGTCTGTCACTGTCAGATGAACCCTTTTTATTTCACCCCAATACTCTTTCAAGGGCTTCCTCTATCCTTCCCTCCATTCCCTCCCTCCTTCCACCCCCAGTCCCCAAGATACTGCACATAAACTGCAGAGCTGTGTCAGGAATAAGACTTCTTCATGACCATCCACCACCTTCAGGATTTTTGAAGGGAAAACTTCATAACCTGATTTACAGGTTTTTGGATTTCCCTCAGTCTCCCAAAATAACTTTGATGCAACTGATTTCCATCCCTGGTTACTGTTATTATCGTGTGATGAAACAGTGTCAACCAATTTATAATTATGAATTTCAGGATAAAGAGGAAAGATTGCTGGAAAAAGCTAAATTAGGCTCCTGGAGGAATGCAGAGAAACAAAAATCCATTTCACTCCAATCACCACCCTTCTCAAAAATCAAAGGGAATGAAGATTTGACATAATGAACTATATTTAGTTAGTAATGTGGTAGCATCTGTAAGCAGGATTGGTCCCTGATGGCGCTGAGTGTGGCACAAAACCCTCAGAACTCAGTTTCTGGTTTGTGGTACCGACAGTCTTTGAAAGGCATGTTAAGGGAGGAAGAGTTGGATATTATTATACACTGGATCACTTTAAAAACTTTTAAAGACCCCTCTCCCCGCCTCTTTTGTGGAGGCACAAACACTGTTCTACCAAGGACAGTAGTATGTACAGCAAGAAAGGGAAAACTTAGCTCTACTTAAAAAAAAAAAAAAAAAAAAAGAAAAAAATCAGTTTGAAGCAAATTAGGTATCAGTGCACCGGTCTTTAAAAGGCAGCAAACTGACAGACAATATGCAGTCAACAAGAGAGTTAGAGATCTAGTAGAAGATAAAAAGAATACTTTTCCGATGCTTTCCCACTTTGTAGCTTCATCCTAAAAGCATTCAGAGCTCCAATTATTCAGGACAATACACACACAGA